GGGTCTGTCTTACTACTGGCCTATCCTTTTTCTTACTATGAGCTCAAAACCTTGAGAGAGAGAGAGAGAGGGAATGAGAGAGAATCTACGGGGGTCTTTTCCAGGCACCCTGAGAAAAAGTAAGAAGGGGCTGCCACTTCCTTTAAAGATACTGATTCAGACTGACTGGACCTTCCTCTCCTCTGTGGGCTCCCTCCCTCTCAGCATCCCTAAAACCACAAAGTTTCATTTTACTGAACCTTAACTTGTCACTGTTGACCTCACAGAGTGCTCTTAGTTGGTTGGTAGGGGCTCTCTTATCTGTGACCCTCTCCCAGGCCCCAGGGCCCTGCTGGTGTGGGACCACCTCTGTCTAGTCTTGGTTTGCCTGTAGGTGAAGGGAGGCCTAAGGTCAACGGGAGCCAATGGGGAGCCAGTTGCTGTTCGAGGAAGACCTGGGTGTTTTGTGTGACTGATCGGTGCTGAGTCTCTGACATCCTTTTGAAAAAGAAAAGAAAGCAGAGTGGCTTTTGATATTTTGGTGGAGTTCAGGAAAATGGAGTGCCATGTCTTGGGATCTTAGTGCGTTTAACTGACCGCCAGCTCAGGTTACTGTTTCAGGTCTCTTTGAAATGCAGGGGGTTGAAGTGTCTGTTCTACCTTGCCCAGGGAAAATGAGTTTTTGATTATTTCAGCCAACTTTGCAACTGCCTGGTGTTGGAGGCATTTGGTGTGGCAGAAGGATTCTACCTGTCGGAGTGGGTGATAGGTTTTTCTGTGGTGGTTTTTATTCTGTGGTTGTTTTTAGAGAGGAGTGTGGATGGGGTTGGTGGGTCTATCGTGGGTTTTGCAGAAACCTAGGCTTGTTAGTAAAAGTTACTTAGAAGGGGCTGGGGAGTTTGTAATGTTAGAAATCTTTGGTGTGTGGAGGAGTCAATCAAGCATGTGCAGCTTCAGAGGACAGAAAGGAATGTTCTTGAGCCCCCCCTCTGCCGCTAGTAGAAGTCTCTGATTTTCCAGTTCTGTTCCTAATCCCCCTGAAACTTCTCCAGCCTTGTCCCTGGTTCTGGGCTCAGGCAGTGGTCATGTTAGTTAGAAAGCGCCTCATGATTTGACACTGAGCGAATGACCATGGCTTTTTGGGGGTAGGAGGAAGCAGTGGAGCTGATCCAAAGAGGGCCAGGCTGTGTTATTCATACACCTTGAGTGAGATGCTTGTGTGATGACTTGCAGAGCTGCAGTTGAGATGTGCTTGCTCTTTGCAACAGGGACAGGAGCATTGGACATCCGCTCTGGTGCCCATTTTACCCTTCAATCAGTTCCCATCCCTGAGCCTTGGGCTTCTGATCTGGAGAGGGTTTCTAAGGACTCTTGTTAATACAATGTCTACTCTGTGTTTGCATAGGGTTTTACTGGTCTAGCAGGGTCTTGTATGTCTGCTCGCATGTAATACGATGTGTTGGAGTGACCATACAAAATCATGGAGGGGGTGAAGCAGGGATAC